TTTTAGTTGTGATTTTCTCAGCGGACTTGTTTTCTATTACATAATAATGAGCGTAATTACATTAAAACGTAAACACGGCCGTGTAAGCCGCAGCGAGGCAAAAACAAAAAATAATGGGCGCCATAAATAATTCGCTGGCGGTTTAATTATTAACTTTGGCAAATGTAATTGAAAATGTTGCTGGTCGGCGACCTGCTATGAATAATTAGACATTAAAAAGTACATTTGCCCATAAAACGCAGTGGAAATGACTGTGGGCTATTATTGAACATGGATTAAAGGTAAATATTATTTCTGGACGCAGTCGATTAAATAAAAACAAGTGTGACAAACGTATTAATTATTTGTTAGCACCCCCAAGACAGCTGCCTTCTTGTTGTTATTCTCATCAGGCATCGAAATAAATTAATCTCGCCAGACCAGACGCTCTTTTAACGCAATCTCGTTCTCATTATGAAGCCACAAATCAAGCTGATCATCTGGTCTTGAACCTGACAAATTTCGATTATTTGCCTTGGCCAGACAGGGCATATAAATATAGCGGGCGGCGTTGATGCCAGCCCACATTGGCAACGATAATCGCCAAGGCCCGCGTTTTGACCAAGTCCGCAAGTCGGCTTTTACCACTCCGCCTGCTTGGCTGAACAAAATAAGGCCAGGCCACCTGTGTCTACTCCCTCTGCCACTCTGCGTGTGTCTGTCAAACTTCATTTGAATACTATGACGATGTATTATTGACATTGTGTACATGTTTTAATTTGGCATTTGCCGCCGGCCCCTTTCTGCCCCGCCACCTCCCATTAATTCAAGGAGGAACGGCGAGAGAACCAACAACAGAAATAAATAAATAGAAATAAAAGCGGTTTGTGCTTGACGTCACAGTGACGTCATTTGGATCGACAGCATACACAATGCATAAACATTCGTTTAATCATTCTGTTTCGAAATGTCTAAGCAAGTCCAAGCGCCGCCTTGTCAGAAACAGGTTCTAGCTTCCAGCTCCCACGTGAGTTGGACATTGGCTTCTCGCCACAAGCCTCTTTCCCTAGCCTCGCTTATTAAAAATCAATATAAAAGACTTTAAATTATATTAAACAAATTGGGTTTGCCATTCTGCCAGACAATAGAATAGTTCTCCAATATTCCTTCAGCTCAAAACATATCTGTTGAAAGGAGGAGTCATCGTATTGGCTGCCACACATCAGGCCCCACTTTTTCTAGCATTTTGTATATTGAAATTCAACAATGGAAAGCTCCAATCACTCATGTTCCCAAGTAACTGACCATTTGGCTGGCTTTCAGTTTATTGATTGCATTTTCCATTTTCCATTTTACAGTTTCCATTTTCCATTTTCCATCTGCCACTGACTATTTGCATTTGCCGCTGCACAAATATTTCGTACATTTGTTCCATTTTCGAGAATCACACATATTTGCCATGTACAAATATCAAGAGCGTCCGTTTCAAATATTCTTGAATTATTTTTTATTACTGGCCCGGCTTTGGATTCCACTGCATGTTTACATTTAATTCGCATTCGCAGAGCTCTTAATTTAGTTTTATTTGTGTCCATTTGCATTAATTGCCAGCGACGGCCGGCGCTTTTAATTGATTTTCCAACACAAAGTGCAAGCGATTTTGATGCAAACTTGAGGCATTCCGCTTTATGTGGTTTCTTGCCGCCGCGCTCGTTTTATTTATTATTATTATTTTGCGCATTATTACTATTATTATTTTTTGGCACAAGGCTGGCGATTGCGTAAAGAGCTTGTCGTTGACTGCTGTTGCGGTTTTATGAATGGCGAGTAGTCGGATCCGCTGCTCTATCGCTGTGCAGTGGATACACAAGTGGTCATGTCATAACTGCAGCTGATACAGAAAGCCGAAAATCTCCATCTCCTCCTTTCTAGTCCAACGGCAAACCAATCGAAAATCGATCGCCTTTCTGCCGTTTTGTTTTTCTAAATTTTACATGCCTCGCTAACGAATTTATCAATCTTCTGGCAAATGCCTTCATAAATGCAACGGCAGCACGTAAACCGATTGTCCATCAGAGCGGGATTGAGATTTCCATTCCGATTCCGATTCCCATTTCCCCTAATGGCCAGAGCTCTCATCGGGCGATGCTCTAAAATCGATACAGTTCAAGGCTGTGCTCTCCCATTCGAATGCCATTAGAAAAGTTATTGAAACCAAAATTGCAGAAGGGCGACAGCATTTAGACGTAATTAAGCCCAATGTTGCCGACTTTTAGTAAAGCATGAGTCGCTTGACTGGCGGCCTTTGATCTCTTTTAATGTCGCATTAAGAGTTCCGCAAGCCAGTGAATGCTTTTAATTATGAATTAAATATTTTGGTGCATCAGTTCGCCCTGAGGAGACTCTCATAACCTGGCCTGTTGGCCATCAGGGAGACCCAGTCGGCAGTCCAAAGACCTGGCCCTGCTTTAGGTAAATGTCAGGTCACCGGACCTCCCATCGCCCAGCCGAGGCCGACAGCTAAACCAACACAACAGATGACGCCAATGCTCAGAGAGGTGGTCGGGCGACGTATCTGACCAGGCGATCTGCGCAGCCAACTAAGGATTCAGAATAGCCAAAGGTAGCATTATAAGGGGAGGTTATAGGAGGTTTCTTGTTTGTCTTTGAACTGATTAAAAATGAATGTGAATGAATGTTTACCAATCACATAAAACAAAACATCTCTTGATTTAAAAAACTCAATGAAAGGAATTAATGAAAATTATTAGAAAACGATGGCATTTCTGTTGTTTGACTGTAAAGAAAAAGTGCTAGAGTGTGCGCAGAGAACACCTTGACTTCTGGTGGAAAACTTCAAGTTGGCTAAAATAAAGCCAACTTGGCTGGCAGCAGTGCAGATGGCAACGATGACGAATGACGAGGACGGCACTCAGCCAAGTACGGCCGAGCTGAGCTGAGCTGAGTTGACATGCATATGCATAAATTTGAAAATGCTTTATTTACTCGAGTCGGCGGACGAATAAAAATGGAACTCATATACTGAGTCAATATTTGCCCAAAGTTTTTCCCGTTCTCCGCCGGTGACCAACACCCACGCTTACTTTTGCCCTTCTGTCTTTGTATTCCTTGGCTCTTTGCTCACCAAAACGACTGCAAATCGACCAAGGGACAGTGATGACGTGTTCACGCAATCAAGGGACATTTGGTGGAATTTATGAATGCCAGCTAAAGTCTCGAGTTTTGAAAGGATGTTAAAATATAAACCCCTGGAGGTCTTGTGGCTATACCAGATTCTACGGGAGATACTTGATTTATTCAGGAATCTCTTAACTGAACCCCGAGCGATCAGGCGAAATCAATAACCTACTCACACCCTAACTAGTACTGATTGAAATCGTTAGCTTGAGTAATTGCAGGGCATTCTGCTAGTCGACACCTCCACCAGACTTGAGACACAACATTCCTCACTTTTCTGCGGTGCGTCTGTGTGTTGATTCGGCTTAATGCAAATGCTCAATCATTTCGCGCCGTCGGGCATTCTGCTCCTAATTTGATGTACGACAAATGTGCCAAAAGTTGTCAGACGCATAAAGAACAGAGGGAAAGACGGCAGGAGAACTCCCAGGTAGCCAGAGAAGAAACTCAGGGGGAGTACCTGGCGAGTGGCAGTGCTGTGTCAGAGTTTATGAGCTCATAAACATTTCGGGCGATATTCCTCATGACGGCGCCATTTCTTCCTGTCCAGGACTTGGCCCAATTGGGAAATGGGATATATTGTAAATGCTCAGTGGCAAATGCCAGCTGCGAGTTTGGAAATGCTCCGGAACGGGCCGGGAAAGTTTCTTTGTCACTTCGAGTGCCCCATAAACTTGCCAAGTGCAACGGAAAAATAACGCAGAAACAGAAACGCAGAGAACGGGTGGCGCAAAAAATAACAAACTAAATTTGAAGTGCAACAGAAACTTTTGCCCGGGAAAAATATGTTGCTAACAAGTTTGCTTTTTGTTGCTAATCGCCTTTGCCAACTGCCAACTGCCACGCCCCCAAGCCCCCAGCGCCATTTTGTAGGCGTCGCTGGCAAATTACCTAGGCAAAAGTTGCACGTATGAGAGCCCAAGAATCAACAAAGGCCGCTGCCGTTGCACAGAACAAATGCTGTGCCCTGTGTTTGCAGCAAATGTCAACGCTGTAACAAAAGACAGACCCAGCTCGACAACTGTGGAAGCGAGGCGGACAAATGTTTAAAAATTTATAACAATAAATAGCAAGTTTAAGTGCAGCGCACATGAAGGGATCCCAGAGACCCTGATGGTGCCACATATAAAACAGAAATAATGATTTAGGTATGAGTTTTCGTTCTTCCAACACTTTTATAGTCATAAAGCAGTCAAACATGGATGAGAGTCAGAGTAAAAGTTCGTATATCAAGAGGGTTTCGGTGCTGATAAGGACAATCTATATACTTAAGCAATCAGGTATGGAATTATACCGAAAGCTATTATTAGAAGTATTTGCGTAGTAAAATTCGCTTGTTATTTGCTGTTATCGAGAAGGAAAGTTCTTCAGCTGGCACAGCGAGTAACTGATAGAACCCTCGGAAAGTGAGCACCTTAGGCAAGCGAGTGAGTAACGCCAGACTGAACTTTAAGCGCTAAAATGTTTGCACAATGATTCTCTTGTAAAGTGAATGAAAAATGATTTGTGTTCTCGGGACAGATAGAACCAATAAAAAAATGCGATTGGCCACAGAAAAAACAAACTCATCCGACGTCAGAGAACACTTAACGACAGCAGTTCGCTGGGGCGATGCCAGTTAGGAATTTCTTTGGGGGAAATTGCAACCAGACTGTCGCTGAATGACTGCCAATTCAGCTGAATGGGCGTGCGGTCGTCAATCAAATGCTGCCATATATGCAAGTTTGGTATGGGCTATGTATGACATAATTTATGGCGAACGTGGATAGTGTTCTTATCAATTGGCCAGATAAAATTACTCAAGTTCCAGGAATTCAACTCACCTTTGGCTTCTCGAAATGGAAATGACCGATTTGCTGATGATTGGGCAACTGTAAGTAAGTAATAAGAATAGAGAATTATCCAGGGCAAAGCACAAATTGATTTCTTAAATACACAACTGTTTGGCTTTCCCTTCTTATGACCACTTCTCTCATAACAATAACGAAACAAACACGAAACTGAACATGCAGCAGACCACCCAGGATTATGCCAGAACACAAATTCCTGGTATCTCAGGGACCCTCATCCCTTCGCCTCTCATCCAGGGAGCATTATTGTTAATGAATTCTACACGTATGGCCGAGACCTCGAATTGGAATCGGCCTGCAACCTGGGCGAAAGCCTGTTCTGCCGGCCAGTTTTTGCATAAGTGCGGCTATACCCTTTTTGCCGGTTAGTCATAATCAATTTGTTACGATCTGACTCGACATAAACTCTTGGTTTGGCGGGAAAGTCACTGAAGCAGTATTTTAATTTTTAAATTAAACCACAACGTTTACAAAAATGCGTTCAGAAACAGGTTTGCAAAAGTTCAAGGCCTTAACCCATTTGTTATTTTAATTATAAATAAATAAGCTTATTTAAATTTGGGCACGCAACCGGTTTAAAACCAGCCGAAGGCCGCTTCCTATTTGGCTTAAATCCTGTGTAATTTTGGTTGACCTTACAAATTACTTTTGACAGATGAAAAATGTTTCAAATTTAGAGTCCTCCAATAAGAGAGTGCTTTTTAACGGATAATTCGATTCGATGCTCAATCGAAAACGTTGAAATTTATTAAGAGAAGAACTTCCTTGATAAACAAGGGTGTGCCTTTCTTCGACTACTGATGGCCAATTTGATTTGGCTCCTGCTCCGCCCTTTTCGTTCAATTTAGCGCTGTTGCCAAGTCGACAAACTTGGCCGAGACAAAGTCAAGGTGTTGGCCACGTTGCGTCGCCGCTCTTTCTCAGCACTCGGGTTTTCGTTATGGGTTTGCTTGGCTTTGGCTGCCTTTGGGTTCCATAGCGAGGGTCAATGCACAAGTGATTGGTTTTTAAGTGCATCAGACGCCGACGCCGACAGCGATTTACCTCTTCCCCACTGCTGTTGGGCTGCAAAGTTTCAATGACACTTTGCATAATTTTTCGGAATTCTGTGCGTCGGGTGATGGGTGATGGATCATGATATCCTACTTGTGTGTTGACAGAGGCAGAGCCCCCGAAAAATCCAATTTCTGGACCTCGCTCAAAACGCCGGTAAACAATACGGAATAGAGGCGAAAAAGGCAAAGCACAGCCCCCATAAAATGGCAAAGTTTAAAGGTTGATGCGACAAAGTGGTAATAACACTCAGTCAAAGCAAGGTAAAATGGGACGAGAGCGGTGGGCGGTGGATGGTGGCTAGGGTCGACAAGGGTTTGTCTTTAATCAAAACTGAAAAATAAAGAGACAACAAAAGCGTCGAAGCGGCATAAGCCGAACAATTTTGGGCACAGGAAGGGACCAAAAAACTGTCAAGAGAAAACTTCTCTTTTTTTTTGGTCTATGTGTACTTTACGAGTTGTTATTTTTAGGGGAAGGGGCAGTGGTTATTTCGGGGGCGGTTGTAAATGTAAAACGTTTTTCGGTAGACAAGAGCAAATAACGTAGCCCCAAGCCAAATATCCCGGAGATGTCGCAACCTACTCGGTGGCAGCTCCTCGGAACGAAAGTTTATCAAGGTCATTACGCCAGGCTGGCTTCCCTATGCTCCACCGCCCACCTGTCATTCCTGTCTTGTTGATTAGCACCCAGAATTTCTGTTTCTTCTTATCAATCCGACGGCAGACTGGGCCACTGCGTCAGGTGTTCGCCCGGAATGCGTTCCGCATCAAAAGAGGATTGTCGGATGGTGTGCTTTTGGTAGAAGAAGAGCAGATGCCATTAGGACTGAATTGTAGTGCGCTGGGATGGGGGGAATTTCTATATCATAGGATTTGACAGGAAATCCGTCAATTACCAAAACAAACCAATGCCTGAGGGTCTTCGAAAACCTTTTACACCTTTTACTGGGACTCGAAAATGGTATTAATGGGATTGAATCCGAGAAGTGAGCCTATTTTATTTTACAGAAGAAGCATGCTCAAATTTTAAAGGAATTCGTGATTCATATTTCTAAAATCAAAATCATTTTAAAAGCAATTAGTGTATCCTATTCAGATATTTGAAATTTAATCGAGAGAGCCATCATTAAACTGCTTTTCACTTAAAGTAATTTGATTAAATTTACATGCCCTCCGGAGACTTATTTTGGCTACTAATAAGGCCTTGTGTCCTCCGCCCACTTACGCTTATGCCTCCTTTCACTTTTCCGACATATTCCGCAAAACTTTTCTCACATTTCACTTCAACTTTTCCCACACGCACAAGGAGCTCCAACTGCAAGCTCTAATTGAATTTAGTTTTATTAAGGAACATGAAAGGAAACACAGGGCTTGCAAAAATGAAAACCTCTGAAGCGTTTTCAGTTTTCATTTCCCTGAAAAACAGTGAGGGAAATCTGGTTTCTTAAGAGCAAGGAAAATCCCATATTCTCAATAAAGGGTGGATGAATTAATTAGATTGATAAAGGGAGGAAACCCTGGCTCCTTATAAAACTGAAAGCCGCAAGAAAAACAGGCACCGAAAGTTGGTAAGCCGATTTTGGCCAAAAACCAAGTGAACAAAGGCGGCGACCACAGAAAATTGATTTAAGCTGATTTTCGGGGCATTTGTTTTTTCGTTTTTCGTTTTCTGTGTTCTGTTTCTTTTTTCTACGGAGTAACAATATTGACCGACCGACCACGCCCATTTTGGACTGCGTGCGGAGGCGTGCGGGGCAATTAATATCAATTCCCGTTGGGCCATTAACACGAGCCAAAAACATATTGGCTAACAAGTGTCAAAGTCGCGCCAAATTAGCGCAGAAGGCGATGATGATGGCATGTGGGCGTGGTCGGGATTGGAATTGGGATATCCAGGGGATGGGTTCAAGTCCTGGCGATGATATCCTGCCAAGGCAGGAGCAGCATGTGGCCAACCCTCCTCGCACTAAATGGGGTTCGTTGTTTGGGTCCTGCCCTCATTGATAATAATATTCGATTGGGTTTTATTTGCCCATGGGGTTGGAACTGATGGTTTATTATTGTCTGGTCGGGGCACAGGACACACAGGATACACATGTTTCTGCCAATTGCCTACGTCACCCTGAAAGAATGGGTTGTGGGTTCGGCGTTCGGGACTCAAGTCGATAAACTGTGACGCAAGCCCTCGAAACATCGAAACAATAGTTCCGACCTGACAGTTGAGCAGTTCAGCAGTTGAACAGTTGAAAAGGGCGCCACATGGGGTCACACATCAGAGATATTGGACTTTAACCATCTGCAGAGCACTTCTGTGAATGGCACATTGACTTCATCCACTCCTCCGATGAAAAGCGGAAACGTTTATCAGCAAAACGTCCAGCTCGTCTTAATTATGCAGCCGGCGATTCTGGGGCAATCAGAGCGGCAGAGACACCCGGCTGCCGATGACGTCCCACAGAAAAAACAACTCGAAATGCAGAAGCGATAACAAAAATACGTCGAAACATTGCGAGGGTCGCCCTTGAAAAGCGGGGGAAGTTTTGCTTTTGGGGAAAAACTATTTTTAACGACTCGCATTTGTCAGCTGCAAATGGAAACGGGAATTTATTACCCCGAGAATGAAGCTGATTTATGGCGATTTCAAAATGGTTTTACTAATTGGTTCGAGTTTTAGTTCTATGTTCCTGCTATAAATATACAGATTTTCGGAGTGCCATTACCGCAAATAGATTGCTTTTGGCTTGGGCCAAGGACTGAAAACATTCAGATCGAAATTATAAATTATTAGAAAGACCTAATAAATGATCCATAAAATTGTAGTTCTCAAAATACGGCTTAAAAAAGAGCTATTACATAGATGCTTAATACACTTAATTGATTGAAAGCAAACACTACAAATATGATTTTAAAACCAAAAAAGTAAACATATCTTTTCCATTAGTCACCAAATGTTTTAATAATCATTATTAAATTTCGGGAATTTGAATGTGGGGCCTATTTCTGGATAATTAAATGAATGAAAATAATAATATGACGTAAAGCAAAAAAACAATTATTTTTTACGCTCATTAATTGGAAAGGAATTTTCATATAACTTTACGAAGAAGAACTTTAATGAGAAGTAAGAAGTTTCTTGTCCATACAGTTTCGATTACTTATCGATCAGCCCTCCTATGCGGGTCAAAGGATAGGCAGCAACAGCAGAAAGATAATAAATAATGAGCTATAAATATTCATATTGTGCATTGTTTGTTTGTTTGTTTGCTCTGTTCGTGTCTGTCTGTATGTTTGAGGAGTGAAGAAGAAGAGCCGGCTGATAAGCGCTTCCGATTGCTTTCACTTTTTAATCGATTGGCCGAGGGGAAAAAAGGATGGCGAGTCCTGCGGCATTAATGCAATTAATTAGACAAGAGAGACAAGGCCAACGTGTGTGTAAATTACAGTTACAGTTAAGTGCTTAAGTGCAACAGAGGGGGACAGCAAATGAGGTGTGACAATCAAGGAGGAGGCGAGAATGGGTGATTTCAACCTGATTAATGAGGCTTACATACCTGTTTGTTTAATGTTCTATATCAAACGCTTAGTGCGGTTTTACTACGAATTTCTGCTAGTTGGAACTTTTCGCAACAAATCTCCGGATTCTGATAAGAAATCTGTTGTTGATAAGACCCTTTTCTCTCTCTCTCTCTTTTTCTCCTTTTCGCACACTACGGCAATTGCAGCATAAACAATTTGAAAGAAGAAGAAGCAGCGACACGCCTAGTGGGCAATTTTCCGGCTTTTCTGTTGGGAAATCTGCGTTTTTAGCTTTGTGCTTTTTGACTTTGCTTTTTGGTTTTGCGCGAGAAATACTCTTTGATTTTTTGTTTTTCTTTTCAATTTGACCGCATTTGTCGATTTTGGTTTTCTTTTCGGTTGTTGTTGTTGCTGCTCTCACCAAAACTCACACACACACGCGAGCTCTCACACACACTCACACAGATGGGCGGGCGGGCACACACACACCACACAACGACACACGCGGCGTTTCGCTGACGGAAAAAATTCGGAAAATACGGCGTGAAATATTCACCTTTTTCGGGGCGGCCCGGAAAACGGTCGACTTTAAATGGGGTTTTTGGTTTGCGGCGTTTTTAAGGCGGAACACGACGTCGTTTGCAATTGGGATTTTTGCACAAGATCCCCAAGATTGACGATGTCTGCTTTCGAAAAAATATTAAAGTCTTCTGTGAGACCGTCGGCGGGTTAGTGAAAGATATGCGCGCAGTGTGACCGCGGAAAAGACTGCGAAATTAACAGACTGGCTCTCAAATATATACTTTTTATACCAAATTTTATTTTATGTTGTAGCGGGACATATTATGATTTAAAAAAAAATTGGTTAACTAACCTTGAGACGTTTTATTAAATAATTTATCGTAACTACAGCAATGAAATTGAAATTTCGACAAGCTTTTTTCTAGCTGTTTTTATAAGCCGATAGGTGGCAACGCCAAACGAACACATGTTGCACCTCTACATTATTTCAAATGGGCGATTCGATTTTGTTACTAATTTATCTTAAATAAAGTAATTCCATATATTTCACTTTTCCAATATATATAGATACCCAAAGGTTACTGTAAGTTTATTTATTTTAGCGATAATCTATATATAACTTTCATATCTATTGCGCAGGGTACTTATTTGTTGCCTCAGCCGAACTCAACCGGCACTTTTAGGTAATGGCCATGATTTTCACAAGGAAAACGCTGAAGCTGCTCAACTATCGCCTGAAATGCCTGAGCTTATCCAGTTCCTGTGCAAAAAGAGGAATCCAAAGCAGTTCCAATGGAGAAGCGCCGTCCGTGGAGGTCAACTTCAGCAATGGGTAAGGATGTGCTCTTCATATAAGTTCCAGATTTAATAGCTCAATCCTCCACAGACGTAACATGACCTTTAGTTCTGGTCGCCTTGCGAGATTCGCCAATGGAACAGCAGTGTGTCAAATGGGCGACACCGCCGTAATGGTCACCGCTGTCGCCAAAGCAAAGCCAAATCCCGGTCAAGGTTTCATGCCCCTTGTGGTAGACTATCGTCTTAAAAATGCTGCCTCAGGAAGAATACCCATGAACTTTATGCGCCGGGAACTGGGTCCCTCAGAGAAAGAAATCCTGTCGGCCCGACTGATAGACCGCTCACTACGTCCGCTCTTTCACAAGGATTACCGCACGGAGACGCAACTGGTGTGCAATATGCTGGCCATGGATGCGGTGCACAGTCCTGATGTATTGGCCATAAATGCAGCCTCCATGGCTCTGTCCTTAAGTGATATTCCCTGGAATGGACCGATAGGAGCAGTTCGGTGAGTAAATACAAATAAATACTAGAAGTTTGGTTGTTATTGAATATCTTTCAGCGTTGGCCTCTGCGATGGCGAGGTGCTCATAAACCCAACTCGCCGGGAATTGCAGTCATCCCAACTGGATTTAGTTGTCTCTGCCACCAAACAGAACTTAGTGGTAATGCTGGAGGGCAAGGGCAATGTGGTTTTGCAACAGGACTTGCTGAAGGCCATCAAGCAGGGCACACGAGAAGCCCAATTTATCATTCACGAAATCGAGCGGCTGCAAAAAGCCTACGGCAGGCAGAAACGCGAAGTAGAAGTAGCAAACCAAGTAGATCCTGAACTGGAGCAAGCTGTAAGGAGCATGTGCGAGATGCGTCTAAGGGAGATATTCCAGGACCCTCAGCACGACAAGATCTCACGAGACAATGCGGTCAACGAGGTGCGCTCCAACGTAATCGACAAGGTATGGAGTTCCTTTCCAGATACAGAACCCACTCAAATCGGGGAGCTGTTTAACCATGCTAGCAGATCTATCTTTCGGGAACTGATCTTCGAGCGGGGACTTCGCTGCGATGGACGAGACTACGACCAGTTAAGGAACATTTCCTGCCAGGTGGATATGTACAAGCCGCTACACGGATCCGCCATATTTCAAAGAGGTCAGACGCAAGTCTTCTGCACGGTTAGCTTGGACTCGCCCGAAAGCGCCATGAAACTTGACTCCCTGGCTGCTCTAGAAAGTGGAGGACTGAAGGCCAAGAACTTTATGCTGCACTACGAGTTCCCGCCTTATGCTACGGGTGAAGTTGGTCGGATTGGTCCAGTGGGCCGCCGGGAACTAGGTCACGGTGCATTGGCGGAGAGATCTTTACTCCCCACACTGCCTAACGATTACCCATTTACTGTTAGACTTACGTCGGAAGTTCTCGAATCGAATGGAAGCAGCAGCATGGCTAGCGTTTGTGGTGGGTCTTTAGCTCTAATGGATGCCGGAGTGCCAGTGAGCGCCCCAGCAGCAGGAGTAGCAATTGGCTTGGTAACCAAGTTCGAGAACGAGGACACGAAGCACCTGCAAGACTACCGTATCCTCACCGACATTCTGGGCATTGAGGACTACATGGGCGACATGGACATGAAGGTGGCGGGAACGAGGAAGGGCTTCACCGCTATCCAGGCAGACCTTAAGATTCCCGGCATTCCTCTAAAGGTTGTGATGGAATCGCTTCAAAAAGCTACCGATGCTAAATCAAAGATTCTTGACATCATGGGCGAGGCTATTAGGGAACCGCGGTGAGAAACAACATCTGGGAAACCGGATTAAAGAGGTTTCATTTACTTATATCACAATTTACCTTCTTTCAGAAAGTACCCAAAAGACAGCTGGCCAGTAAGCGAAACCCTAACTGTGGAACCTCAGCAACGCGCACAGTTAATTGGACCTAGTGGTCTCCACATGAAGCGGATTTACCTAGAAACGGGCACCACGTTAACAGCTGTCGATGAGACTCATTTTAATGTATTTGCACCTTCTCAATCAGCCATGGATGAGGCCAAGGAACTGATCGAGGGCTATATGGTGAAGGAACGAGTGCCGGACCTAGAGTTCGGCGGAATCTACACTGCCAAAATCACAGAACTGCGGGACACCGGAGTAATGGTTATCCTCTACCCCAGTATGCCACCCGCCCTGCTGCACAACTCTCAACTGGACCAGCGCAAGATTGGCCATCCCTCTGCCTTAAACCTTGAAGTGGGTCAGGAGATCCAGGTCAAGTATTTCGGTCGTGATCCGGTCTCCGGTTTTATGCGTCTCTCGCGAAAAGTTCTCCAGGGACCCGCACTGGGTATCACTCGTTCGCTCAATAAATCTGTTAATGAGAATGGGACGTAATTTCCAAAATTTAGAAACGTCTTGTAAAGTTCTCGTTTGTTATGTTTTCCCTGCGGAAAGACATTTTATTGTAGGCTTAAAATTTCGTGTTTAAAACTTGTACGTATATAAACTATGGATGAAGAATCATATCTTTTTCCGTTCTCTGTATAAACTTGTTGTTTTTGCTGGATCTGAAACCAGGATGGTAACCGTAACTAAATTCGAAGGATTTTCTCTGAAAATCGTAAGCCTCTACTTAAATTTAAGTCTGTACGTGGAAGTAGTTTCAATTCTGACACAAAAAGTCTTTGACGATCTGCTAAATATATTTCTATAATTGAACAAGGATTTTTTTTCAAGTTTTTAACTATACTTTTGACTTAGGTGCGAACAGCATTGGTTCTCACTTTTAACCAAGTTATATATAATCTAATATGCTCATTAACAAAGTATTTAAATGAATTGGCAGAATCTCGTTCCTTTTCCAAAGGAACTGGTTAGTTGCTTGTCATTTTCATTAGATCCAAACGGGAAATCTCATACATTTTGGATACATTCCATTTGATACTAAAGTGAGCTTATAAAACGAATTTTGATTCGAAAAATATGAAATGGCACGGAAGACAGCCAATTAAGTAGAATTTTGGGCAAAAATATTTGTGACAATTCGAAGCTTATACTAATGGCGAGATCTACTATGTAGGACCGCCGAATCTTTACATTTGGTGTTGGCTAGATGATGACGCGGTAGTAGGAATCGGAAATGCTGTACAAGGCCACTATTGGAGTCTTGGCATCGCTCAGATAGTCCACAACCTCGTCGTTTATCTCGGATATATAGCGTTTGTATTTTGGAAATCTGTAACCAAATAATGTCAATCTGTGAAACAAGTAAGGAAGTTCGAAACTTACCGCTCAATCACAAAGTTTATTTCCGGTTCAGTCTCTTTTTTGCGAATCTCACGGGGATTAATGGCTCCCACAATGGCATTTACGACCGCCGGCGGTAACTCCACGACCAGCACCACAAAAGTCTCCTTTTTTAGAAACTGTGATAATGTAGAGCTCATCTGCTGGGTCACCTGGTTCTCCAGACGCCTTTTGTAATTTGCAGTGGGCTTGTCGTGTGTGAGGAACGTAACCTGCAGATTGGGCAGCTGATTATAGCTGTTTTTGATGTTGGCATTCGAGGCAGAGGTGCTAAGTCCGTTCTCCCCGCGTTCTCGCTCTCTTCCGCCACTGCTCCTATTGTCACCAGTGCTCACGCTGAATAGCTGACTTGAGTTGTCCACGGTGGCCCCAATAATCCCATCAGTTCGAAGCAGTTTCTGGATGAACTCCACGAGTTCGGTTCGTGTCAGGTGGCGCTCCTGGAAACGTTCCCTCTCAAAAGATCTCACTCTTAACGATCCATTTTCCGCCACAAGAATGACATGCAAAGCTCCAAGACGAGAAAGATCTTGCGCCTCATCCCCCAGTTCACTGGCGGCTTCCACAATGCCACATCGGATCCCAACCGACCAAAGCAGCCGCATAATGTAAGTCACATCCTTAAGGGGCGGACGAGTTCCACAAACGCAAATGCCTACATCAATGGCTCGGCAGTCCTTTGCATACTCCACACCCACTGCAGCTACAAGTTTGTCCAACGAAAATGTCAAGCCTGCTCCACTAAGCACTCCGCGTGTGGGCATGGTGGGATTGAAACTCTGCGCTTGCTTTTGGAATTCGTGCAGCATGGAATCGTATCTCTCACCAATCGCCAGAACAGAGGGATGACTAGAACGATTGGGTTTTAGGTCAGCAGTCATCTGCCACACGATTCCACCGCTGCTGGCGCGATCGAAGCTAATGGGCAAACCAGCCCATATGTGAATAGGACACTAAAAATATAATAAAGTTAGGCTTAGGGTGAAATTGTAAAATCACAGAACTAACCTTTACGCCCAGACTGTAAGCTAATCCCACAACGGTTTCAAGTTCCCGCAAAGCACCTCTCGCTAGCGAAGCCGCTTCGCCTTTTCCTCGCATCAGGGATTTTAACGCCGAATCATCCACCGTGCTCCTTGAACCAGTCAGTAAGAAGTTGGCTAACAACATGTCCATCAGTGTTTGAGCAGAGGTTCGCGACTTCTCCATAATCCCAGTAATACTGGAGTGAAATTGGAAGCGTGAAATACGAGACTCTATGAAATCCATGGTGCCCTCAAAAAGTGCTCCGTACTGGGCTTTTGGAACATTACAGAAAATGAGGATGGCTCTCAACAGATTTGTGTGATTCATGCGGATCGCCAAATTCTTTTCCCGTAAGCGTGGGAGTTCGCTGGTGATTTCAAATGCCAGTGACAGCAACTCTGCATCCATGAGGTGGCTTCCAGTTGTGGGAGCAATGATATCAAATGAGCAGTCGTAGCTCTGCTTGGGATGAAAATTGAACACCCGCTCTTCTCGATAAACACGGTCCACACAATAGCGCCTGATGAGATTTACGCTGTTCATGGTGACATGGCGGGCAAACTGGGTCCGCAGATCGCAGGGTAGCACTACCACACATCCCGAGTGGGTCATTAAGTGAACGGCATTGGCGTTTGCATTGGCACTGCTGTTTCTTGCGGAAAGAGGGGAAAGGAGCGGAGAGTCCACCTCTATGGCTCCATGTTTGCGAAAAAGGTTCACGACTTTGGCCTTGACAAACTCAATCACGGGATTTAGAGACACTATATCGTCGATTATGATGGCCGAGTTCCAGGATTTCATAGCCCGACTGCTGCCCAAGTGGTAGGTGTGTTCCAGAACCTCGTCGCTCTCTTGTTGAAGACAGCGAGCAACTAGGTTTTTATAGGCTTTGCTCTGTGGATTGGCAAGAGCGTGTCGCAGCATCTCCTGTAGTTCGTTAGCCTCCAACTGGGCTGGTGGAACCAGGTCTGAGGTGAGCAGTTCCTCGGCCGTGGGCCTCTGAGAGGGGTCGTGGTTGAGGAGCCATTGAAGCATCTATAAAGTGAATAAAAGTTTAGATGTTTTTTAATCTTTATAAGGTGTTTTATTTTTACCTTCACTGTCTTTTCATACTTTGGATCCTTAAGCATGGTATCCGGTATATTGATGGACACGTTTCTCAGGGCCATAATGGTCTGAGCCCTCTCCATGCTCGTGTCGAACGGCGGTTGGCACATCTCAAACAAAATGATACCCAGTGTGTACATATCCACCTTCTGATTGTACACGGACTTTGATGCATTTCCTGTCAGTTCAGGGGCCACGTAAAGTGTTGTGCCCACCTTCCCGGTGCCTGTCCCGTCCTCAGCACTGGTTATTTGGTTTACAGGCACAGGTGCCGCGTATTCGTGAGCCTGCAGGGCCAGGAAACTAGTGGTAGCTAGGCCAAAGTCACCGATCTTGATCTGATCATGGGAGTCCAAGAAAATGTTGACTGGCTTAAGGTCTCGATGGATAATACCCTGCTGGTGTATATGGGCTAGGCCTTCAGCAATCTCTCTAAACAGTCGCCATAGCCGCTCCGTGTCGTCAAAGAGATTGTCATCGATGGCAGTCCTATAGTTAATATACATTATATCTTAAAAAAGGTTGATATAAACTACGGTAATCGGTTCTCTAACTCACCGAAGTGTGCATTTCTCGCAGAACTCCATCTGGATATACATAACCTGCATCAGGGGTCTTGGCGAGTTGGTCTTTCCTCTGGTAGAGTCCTCCTCCTCTTCATCGTAGACAGCCACCTTGCCATTGGAGTCTACGAATTCGATGCCATCGGAATCTGAATCGTCAATGTTGGGTCTGTGAGATAATTATCATATATTTTTTTTGTTTTAAATCTGAGATAAATTACTTACATATAACCATTCCACATGCTGGACGAGCTGTCCTCCTCGTCCTCATCCTCCTCCAATGTAGGACCAAGCTGAGGCGACTTAGCGGGTTTTACACTTAGCTCCTGCTGACTCTGTGACCACTCTCCACCCAGCAACTTGTCCATCTCCGCGGCATCAGCGTCATCTACACTCTCAATCCAACTGTTAAAATAGCGAACCACGTTCTCATGATTCAACCGTGAAAGGAGCTCTACCTCGCGCGTCATCTTTTTGTACAGCTGTCGACTTCTCGCGGGAAGTGGTATACGCTTGATGGCGTACTCTCGGTTGTCTAGAATGTTGCGTACCTTCAACACGTCCCCAAACGCGCCTTTTCCCAAGTACATGAGCACCTCAAACTCGGTTCGAAGGCGGGATTGACTTAGGGCCAGTGTAGGTATCTGGTATGGCATGGCGGGTCCCGTTCGCTGGATGGGGTTAGGATGCCGTTGCTGTGGTAGTGGTATCACCTGCTGCTGCCCATTGTCCACATAAAACCGCAGGAATGGATGTTCCAGCAACTCCGATGCGGAGAGTGTGCGATCAGAGTTGCATCTATATAAAAAAAAATAAGATTTATAAAAATTTTACATTTCGTGTAGATATTTACTTGTCAACAAAATCGCGCATTTCATAGCTATTTGTGGGCATCAAGCTCTCCACCAAGACACCCAAAGCGGGCAAATCCCCGCGGCTACTGCTTTGCCCAGATCCGCTGAGCAGTTCCAGAAGATTGGGAACCAGAGAGAAGTCCGATACGCGCACATTGCCCGCGTTGTCCATGAAAACGGTACTGTCGAGCAGGTGACTGTGGGATACGCCCTTATTGTGCAAGAAAATAAGGGCATCCAGTACGCCACGGGCCACCATTCGGGCACCATCCATGCACCAACCCAATGAGGACGATATGCTAAACACGCTGGTGCCTAGGAGGAAGTCCTGCACCAAGTAGACGAGAAGACCTTCTTTCCGCTTGATGCAAAGCACGCACTCGTATGAGACGAGGTTTTTATGCTGCAGTTGGGCAAGCGAGGCCACCTGCTTTTCAATGGAAGCTATCACGTCGTCCACACGATGACTGCCCGTACACTTTGACTCGCTGCTCCAGTGGCATTTCCCTCCACCGATACATGGCTGCTCCAATTGGCAGTACTTTATATTCCATTCAGTGATGTAGAGCAATTGACCGCAGTGCATATCTATGCCGGTGTAGGCGATGCATCCTCGTTGAGAATGCCCTATCACATAATAACATAAAGTATTATTTAATATTTATGGTTAAAAATAAGATTCTTCTTTAAGATAGAAAGCCTTACCCACACAGCATCCCCGTTGAATTTGCCGGCCCATTTTGTGGAAGTAAAGCGTCTCCGTGTTGCGGTGGTCAAGGCATTTGGAAGGGTAAATGTGACCGCGATAGTAGGGAGAGGAGTTTTCAGAGCTCTCCGATGAGCTGGGATGACGGGGATTGGACTCGCTCATGCTGCGTCGCGGTTCGCCCCGCCTTTTGGCCTCAGTTTTGAACATCTCCTTTCGTCGCTCCACCTCGTCTATTAGTGTTTGCCGTTGCAGGGATTCCCGCTGCCGTTGCATGTCTTGAAGCTCTTGGTCGCGTTTCTGCTTGTCCTGCAGCATCTGATCGTAGAAGGAGCCCTTGGGCGGCTTGTTGTGCTCAAGCAGAAAGGCTTGGACGGTCTGGGCTAATTCGTAGATCATAACTTCACCGCGTAGCTCTTGGGATTGGGTCTGCAGTAGGTCGCGTAGGGTCTCCAGCAACTGATCCGACATGCCTTTCGATTCCTCGAGTGATATCTTGGGGGGCCTAAGGGAAAAGAGTGGTATTAACAAGCTATCTTTCAGGAAGCGCAGATTCCGTTCTATATAAAATTATTTCCCTATTTATTATTATTATTTCTTTTTTATGTTCTTACAATTTCGGGTACTTTGAAGGACAGGTGACATGAAGCTTGGTGCATACATAGGCCTCCAGTCCATTGGAGGAGTCTCTCAGAGGAGTTAGTTGTATCCTTATGTCCGTAGGTTTCCACAATGCAGGATTCGCTTGAGGTCTCAGGTCTTCCACATCGCCACCGAAAATGGACTGTTCAATTTCAGAAAGAGATTAGTTTCATCACTATTTGGGTGAAACAGCTGCTCACTTTTATAACCTCCAATTCCTGGGTCTGCCGCTCGCGGAAGGATTCCTTTGAGGCCATTTCGTCCGCCATTTGTTCATCAAATCTCAATTAAAGTGATTACATTTGGGTGCTTTGAAATACTGTATCGGTGGGTCCTCCCTTTTTTTTTACCGGGTTATAAGAATTTCAGCCGGTCTTCAGCGCTGGCAGCTGTTTCTAAATCAGCTGCGTTCTGCATTACTTCGCCCCTTTTTTCGACTTGGAGTCACTTGTAAATCGATTACTCTAACAATTTATACCTTTTTATCGCGTAAAGGTGTAACTTGTTGCGCTTTTTTAGTGAATTTTTCCGGAAAATGAATTTTTTGCGTATTTTATTTTGTACTGCGAGAAAGAGGTGCACGACTTGCGATAAAAGATGTTCCAAACTAGGGATGGCACTAAGCATAACATCGATATATTGGCGCCAACGTTCGCGATTAACTTTGGGTTGAAATACAGTTTTTAAATCCCCATACCACATCCTATCAGTAGAGTTCGTTCAAATTGTTCATTACTTTTATTAGGTAATTAGTAATAGGGAAATAAGGTAGACTACACTTTGAACCCACATGAAAATATATTATCAAGAATTCAAAAACGAAAAACCGTAAAGCGTTCAAGATAATGACGGTTGGCCGTTTTTGGGTACCTACTTTTCGCCTATTGTCTTCCTCTGTTTATTTTGCCTATCTATTAACTCGAAAATTTGAAGCCTTGTTGGTTCTCACACCACTGAAGATTAACCTTATCACCTAGGAAGAACACATTTTTGAGTGGGGATCAATCTATACAGTTTCCAGTTCGTTCTTGAGGGCAGAACATGTCCAGTCCAAAGATGCTAGGAATATTTCTGCTGGCGTGCCTTCTGCCCGCTGGCTTGGAAAGTGCTCGGATCCTGGCCATATTTCCGTTGCCGAGTCCTTCGCATTACTTCTTTGCTTTGCCCTATCTGAAAAGCTTGGCTTCTCTGGGCCATGATATAACCACTGTAAGTCCGTATCCTCAGAAGACGCCTATACATAATATACATGACGTTCCTATTCCGGAGGTGTTTGAAAACTTTAATGGTGAGATAGAAGCAATATTTTGTGTTATAAAAAAGTAATTATGTTTCTGAACTAACCTTCCAGAAGTCCTTAAGTCTGTATCAATCCCCAAGAGTACTTGGCAGAGCAGTGATTTTGTAAACGAATACGCCATAAATCTCACAAATATAGTGCTAAATAACAATGGAGTTCGTAGGGAGATTCTGGGCCCGAAAAGGCCTCACTTTGATCTTGTCATAATGGATCTGTGGCGGATCGACGCCCTTAGCGGCTTGGCGGCCTATTTTGAGGCTCCGATTATCGGAATGGCTCCATATGGTACTGACTGGAAGATTGATGAACTAATGGGTAATGTCTCTCCCATTTCGTATCTCCAACCTCCGTCCTCGCAATTTCACGACTTGGAGACTTACACAGGGCGATTGACACACTTTTGGGAACGATCCATTTCTTGGATTAACTATAAATGGCGACATGTAAAAAAACAGGAGGCTCTCTATAGAAAGTTCTTTCCCCATATCGCCGATCGACATCCCTTGTCTGAGAATTTCCGGAACTTCGCCTTGGTCTTGGTTAATCAGCACTTTACACTGGCTGCTCCGCGTCCGTATGTACCGAATATGATAGAGGTCGGTGGGCTGCATGTCGATCAGAATCCAAAAGCTTTACCCACCGACCTGGAGGACTTTATCCAGGGTGCCGGTGAAGCTGGAGTGATATTCTTTTCTCTTGGGACCAATGTCAAGAGCAATTCTCTGTCCGAGGATCGGCGAAAAGTACTGCTCGAAACTTTTGCCACGTTACCTCAGCGAGTCCTTTGGAAGTTCGAGGATGACCAATTGCCAGGAAAACCTCCCAACGTTTTTATCAGTAAATTTTTCCCACAGCAGGACATCCTGGCCCATCCCAAAGTACAGCTCTTCATAACCCACGGGGGATTATTGAGCACAGTAGAGAGCATTCATCACGGAAAGCCTATGCTGGGCTTGCCCTGCTTGTTTGACCAGTTCCGCAATATGGAATACGTTCAACGAGTGGGTCTTGGTTTGACTCTCAGCTTAAAGGAGATGACTAGAGAAGATTTCAATTCCACCATCAATCGGCTGACCACGGATATGAAATTCAAAGAAAAGGCAAGGATCACGGCAGCCAGATACCGGGATCGGCCCGTGAAGCCTCTGGATGCGGCCATCTGGTGGACGCACTACATCCTCCGGCACAAGGGAGCTGCTCATATGCGAGTACGCGGCGCAGAGTTGAGCTTCCTGAGATATCATAGCCTGGATGTCTTGGGGACCTATTTGATTGCCTTGTTGGTTGTCTTATCAGTTTTTGCTTACTGTGTGGCTAAAACCCTTAAGATTTGCCTTTTACTGTTAAGGGGTAAAGAAAATCAGAAGAAAAAAGATCTGTGAATTATGGAAATCTTTATTATATAATTTTGTATCTTTCAATAAACAGAATTGATGGCATGGAAAAATTGGCTTTATTTTTTTGATGTCCCCGAACAGTCTGACTTTTGCATCGATCAACTCTACGGAAGCGTACGAGATTCTTCGGTTTTCAATGAACTGCCCATTAAAGCTCACCTGTAACGGTAACTGTAACGGAGTGTTGACCAGTGGCATGTTTTTCTCGTTTTGTGTACATCAACATCTTGTTTTTCGTCTTAAAATTATTTGTAATTGAGAACATGGAGCAGGTCCGTGCAGTGGTGCAGCTGAGTGACAACAAATCCCACAGGAAACCAAACCAAAGCGCCGGAGAAGCCAACATTGGAGCTTCTGCACCTGGAAGAGAACCGCAGCCCCAGGCGGAGGCCTTCCAATATGGCGGTCAGGTGAGCATTCTGGACGGGCACAGCCTCCGACTGCTCTACTGCCAAAATTCCTCCAAGCCGCATTTGCTCATGGCCCAAAAGTTTCACTTTGATGTGCTGAGCACCCAGGAAAGCGTCGTTGAGATCCCAATCCTGCTGAACAACCTCTTTGGGAAGCGGCGGGATGGTTTTCTTATGCACATGAGAGTAAATCGCGAGTGCCACCTGATGTTCCTCCTAGATACCCTGGTGATCCAGGTTAGATCGAAGCTTAAAAGTGAGGGTCTCAGCCTGGATCACGGCATAGTGAGGTTCCGAAAACTCCTGGAGGAGGAAGAAGGAAACAGTTTGCAGGTGGAGCGCGCCTTTAGCGACATTCACGGGCTGATGTTATGGCTCCTAAATCAGTACAGAATGCGGGCTGAGCTCAGCACAGGACCCGGTCACGAAGCCCTGGAGGTGGAGTACATGGTGTCCTCGGAGGAAAGACGCCTCCAGTTCAGTGTCCGTCTGTACATCCTTCTAGTGGCCACAGAGGAGCTAAGTGCGGACTCCATGCGAGGTTTACGCTACTACTTCTACGATAGACAAATTTCATCCGCTGTGGTGGGTACTGAGCTCATTAACTTCATGTTGCATGTGACCCAAAGGAGTCGCAATCAGAACTTGTACTTTCTAATGTTGTGCCATGTGTTGTCTACTAACTCCGAGGTGGATGCACAGAATGCACAGCTTCTGAGCTTGGCTCATCTGGTCAGTCGGCGGAGTTGTCTCCAAGAGGATTCCATGGTAAGTAACTCTTTGGACATTTCTCTTCATGCCATCAACTATTTTATTTCTACTCCCAGCCTTCTAACTGCTCCTTCGCCCACTTGAACCATTTGGATACCCAGCAGCAAGAGATCCATGATCGCTTTAAGCTGGTTCAGGCCAGTCTGATGCAGTACATCCAAAAGGCGGAGCAACTGAAGGGCTATCGGCAACGTTTCGACGACCAACTGGCCCAGTACGAGGAACTGCTAAAGCAAACAGCCAACTCCGAATTCAATTCTTTCATACAAGCCTCTCAGGCGAATCTGCACCATATACACAACCTGGTGGGAAAGAAATAACCAAAAAGGTTCTTAAACATTGTATTTGTCTTGTGTGAACTCTCTGTACTCCGTAAATATAGCAATGTACTCCCAGAAATTGAAGTGAGCGAGCTGTCTCAATTCGAACTAGATACTTTTAGACTATCAAAATTCAAGTTTTCAAAATTTATTTCTGAACAGAAGAATAGAAAATCTCCGGACCATGAACAGCCACCCGGCGACCAAAAAAAATCATCTAGTCCTGGTGGCTCTGACAGATCCCAAGCGCCGTATCTGCGTGGACGATCAAAATCTGGAGAGGGACATCAGGCTCTTGGACAGCAAGTCCATGCTGTTAAGGGTGCCAAGTACCACGGGTAAGAGCGCTTTGTGGAACTGTGTGGAACCGCCTCGCTACTACCGTCATTTGGAATTCGACGCCATTGGCTTTGATGGTGAGCCTCATATCAAGACGGAATTGAGCGATTTCATAGGTCAAATGTTCCGCCACCATCGACACGGAAGTCTGATACGGATCTCTTCCCAAAGAAACCACAGTCCCAACCTTTTCACCCGCCTCTTGGTCAATGAAGTAGACAAAATAATGGTCGATATGCGTTACCGGCTAAAAGCAGTTAATGTAGATTACTTTGATGTCCGCAAATTCGACATGGTCAACATGGTGGCGGAACCTACTGCCCTATCCAGCCGTCGAGGGAGTACTCCTTGCGGGAAAAGTTTGTCCAGCACCAGAGAGTTGTTCCAGTGGTTGAACAATGATCTTACCTCCTTAAGGGGCCGTGGCACTGGTGATGACTATCTGGAGTTTGAGTTTGTGTACCGGGATAGCCTGGTCCTGCAGCACAAGATTCATCTTTCGATTTTCCACATCTTCGGAGGTGAAAACCGACTGGATTTGGTTGAGTTCTTTAAGGGATTGCCGCAGGGCAGGCAAAACAGCAGCACCCTCCTAAACGATTGCCTGAGGGAGTCCTTTGACTTTAAGAGTCCCTATCCGGCGGTTGTCGTGTTCGAGCTTCCCATAGCTCCAGATCAAACTGACTCACGACGAAAGATCTTGAAAATGGCGCATGTGGCCTATGCTTCCTTGGAGAAGTCCCGAAAAATAATGGCTAAATCACAGCCGAAATCCGCATCCCACAGTTACATCAACCTAAGTAAGTTGAGTGCCTCTGAAGCCCGCAGCTCGGTAAGGTCAGTGCCTAACATCTCCTTAGCCAATTGGCGCCGCACTGCCAAATTCTCAAACGAGGACTACAATGGTCTGGCCTATTGGTACGGGCGCATAGATTCCAAATTTGCGGAGCTAAAACTGGCCATGGAGCAGTACTTCGTGGATTTATATAAACGGAAAAGTCTTGATATACGCAGCGAAATTAGATCTATCAATGAGGATCTAAGTGAGGAGATCGACGAAAGTGGGGGCGATGGAGCAAGGCCCCAAAGGCCAGCCAGAGAACTAAGTTTTCCTGGGAAGACATACCCCGTCCTGAAGAAGGAATTCAAAAGACTGGGAATCGAAGCTGAGAGAACCGCATACGCTCCCACCTTGAAAGTGTACATCAGCACCAAGAACTACGAGCTTTCGGAGGCGGAAAAGGCCCTCAGGCAGAGGGAGATCGACAACCTAAGACTCGGTTTGATCCAGTATATCAGCACACCGGATGCCAGTATTTCCGGGGACTAGAAGTTTTACTAAATGTCACCGCAGCCTGTGATGTCTAGTGAAACTCCTTTCCCCAAACTAAAAACGTAAAAACGAATAATAAATAGTTAATTGTCAATTTAATCGATCGATCTTATTTGCAGAAAGACAGAGGTTTCATAGGGTATACATATAATATAATATACATTTATATATAAATACAATATTATTGTCAACAATATGTTTCATAGTAGTTAAACAGATCCCCCGGCTGCGGCTCCATATTAATGTGTAACAGTTAAATAGTTGAATGCTAAACAGGCAATAATATTTTATACGAATAACACTTACTGCCGAACACTCAAAGCAACAACAACTAATGAATGTTAAATCAATGCTAGATCAATTCGATACGATTTGTACTCGTAGTTAGACAACAAGTTGTTCTTCTCAATATGTTCAATATGTACGTTGGCAAGTTTCCGTTCTCGTTCGACGTCGACGACGTCGGTTCGGTTATCTCTTCTTGGATATGTGCATTGGGGGGTGGCATTTGTGTTTTTGGGAAGCCGTAAGATATATAGATTCAACCAGGTCTTGTACAGGTAGGACACTACGATGCACCAATGAAACCTGAACTGAGCAACCTGAACGCTAAGCTTAACTAAATGAATTAAAATTGCAGTGCCACTAAAGCTAGACTCCTAAATCAATGAAAAGTAATCAGATGTGCTCTAAAATGTCCATGATTTGTTTTAAACTTAACTCTGTAATTCTTTCTGTTGAGTATGTTTAAACTTTCTACTTCAAGCTAAGCCTAGAGCATGGTTTCGAAATGCGTGAAAATTGGGCCTGGAACCTCCAAAACTAGGCTTAAAACGGTTTAGTAAATTAAAAAAAAACTCTTAACACCTTTTTGAGAATACTTTCTGCATGCACAGCTCTTTTAAAATGCCAAAATCTGAAAAGCCAATTAACGCTCAGCTCTGGACACCTTGATTCCTTGTAATTTTCCCTTTTTGTTCCACAGTCTTTCTATAAGTACGGATCCAGAGCTGAACCTTAACTAGGGCTTAGTTTGTAAACCTACTGGGCACTGGGCTTCGCTTCAACCTAAGACTTACATGTGTATATAAAAATATATATAGTATATATCGTATTATCGCCCAGAAGCTGGCAGAAGTTTTCGTGTGTTTTAAGTTGTATATCATTGGTTGGCTACACAAAAGCGTTTACGTTGTCTATATAATGCATCCTGCCATCAAGTGTGTGCTTTTAAATGCTTTCTCTGCTCTTGGCTAACTTGAAATCTAATCTCTGTCGCGTTTCCGAAGAACTTTCCTTACTTTACACCTGAGCTGGTTTCGCCTGCTTTCCGAGTACCATGAGCATTTTTTGTAGGAATCGCGTGAGGCTTACTGGAAAGTAGAGAAAGTACAGTGTTGGATTAGTTGCGAGATTAAGGCTGAAGGTAATCTACTAATTAGCTAGAGTTAGGGTGCAAAGTAAAGTTTGAGGTTGCAAAACTTGCAGTTCGTTAGTAGAGTTATAGGAAACTTCTAGAAATTAGTGCTGAAGTAAGGCAGGCAGGTGAGTCGAATGGTAGAACCAAGGTAAAACTAGGATAAAATAGCAAACTTAAAAACCTTTGACGCCGCTTTGGGACGCACAACCATCATCAGTTTCTGTAGAACTTGTGTCAGTCCGCCTAGAATATCAAAAATGGGTGGGGATCACAGCGTGAATAAGTGAAAATCAACAGGAAGGAAGCAGCTTTTCAGGCGAGACTGGGTGCTAGCCCACTTACCCATGGTCTTCTGGAACCAAATCGGCTTGTTCTTCCAGGCGATGAACACCAGGTAGACGGGTATGCTGGACAGAATCATCAGGATGCCATATCCAGTCTCCACGGGACTGGCGTACATGGGCACCACGGTCACGAACATGGTGGCTATGAGGTACACAATCGGGAATACCATGGGAACACGGATGGGACGTGGCAGATTGGGTTGGGCCCATCTCAGCCAGGGCAGGCACAAGACAGCCACACCAATACTCAACTGAAATGGATGCAATGATATTTAGGGATCCAGCAGTGGTCTTCATTTAACTTACCCAAGTGGCGAAGCCCACGTAGTTAATCAGGGCAAAGATGTCCGAAACCGTGAGGTACAACATAGACAGCAGAGCCATGGCCAAGACCGCGGGAGTGGGAGTGAATCTCTGAATCTGGATCATGGTGAGGATCTCGGGCATCTGGCCATTGTTGGCTCCGGCATAAAACAGTCGGGAGGAGGTCAGCAGAATACCATTCACGGCTCCAAACGTTGACAAGGCAACAAAAACTGCGAAATAAACTGGTTTAAGTTTCTATTTAAGAGAAGCTGATTGAGTAAGCTCACCTGGAATGGTCCAGGCCAGCATGCCGAAGGCCCGCTCCGCATAGGTCACCGCCACGGCTGAGGAGCCAAGGACCTCATCCGGGGACAAGATGGTGTAAAAGGACACATTCGCCATGACGTAGACAACAGTCACCAGGGTGCAGCTGATGGCTATGGCGCGGGGCAGATTCTTGACGGGATCCTTCAGCTCCTCAATTATAAAGTTCAAGTAATTCCTGTCAACAGCGAAGCAAACAAATCCAATTAGCAAGTGTCCCTGGGTCCGATGTCCCGAGTAATCCTCTTACCATCCATTGTAGGCAAAGAGTCCGGAGTAGAAGGACAAAGCGATGGAGGTTACTTTTGTGTCCGTGTTCTCGAACGTAAAGTATTGGACATTGCCGAGATACAGTTGGTACACGCCAGTGGCAATGATGATAAACAGGGCCAGCAGCTGAAATGGAGCAACAGTGAGCCTTTCCCCCGGGAAATCCAATCCAACCGACTTACTTTCGCATATGTAAAGATATCCTGCACAGCGGTAGCCCATTTGACGTCCCAGCAGTTGATTAGGGTTAGCACGACTGCAAAGTAAAGGGGCAAATTGAAAAGTATGTACTGAGAAGGCCGCTTAACCCACATTCGAGCCCCAGCACGACTTTGGAGTCACGCCGAAGATAAAAGTCCCGAGATGCGAACGACCCATGTGGGTGATGTAATAACGCGAGGACTTTCATGTGCCAATGTGACAACTCGTTATTTATTGCCCCGCCATTGTTCCATGCAAACGCACTTCATTTCGCACAATTAAATCAGTATTATTACTATTAAATAAGTATTGGGACGCCGACTATCAACAAGTGGCACCTACGGTTGCAGTTGGGAGGTGAGTCATAAACCTTTCTTAGCATAAATAACTTAAAATCGTTCTAGTCCTCAACCTTCATTTGATTTTAGTTACTTTTCATGGGTTTATCTAAAAGGCATAAGTAGTATTTTACTTCATTAAAACTGATTTCAATTACGTCCAATGTGGATTTGTTTCCATGCTGAAATCAAAACAAAACACTGCCTCACTCCTCCTCCGCAAACCATTCTGGCACACTGATAAGCCCGATGCATATGGCAAACTCTTCCAGCGTGTTTATTTGCTTACTACTCGGGGGATGCATTTAAATTGTTTCTAATCTATGGGTCAAGTACGGGAGTGCAGAGATAGCGGTTCAGGGGAGGTTCTTCCGCCCATTAAAGTGTTCAAAATATTGAAGCCCCACGGAAACTCACGTATGCAGCAGACGGCGAGGAGGCGGGCAGAGTCCTCCGGAGGAGAGCATTCCGGGAAGAAGGGCTTCAGGACGTAGGTGCTGAAAGTGAGGGCTACAATGGCCTGGGAACAGGGTCGCACGATCATGCACTCGATCCAGAGACGGATGAAGGCCATGAAGGGTCCGAAAGTCTCCATGATGTAGGCGTAGTCAGCTCCCGACTTGGTGATCATCGTTCCCAACTCGGCATAGCAATAGGCGCCCACCTAGAGGGTAGTAGAGATTGAGTTATAATTTAAGTTGCTTAAATGAGTAAAGTTAAGGAACAGAAGTCCCTAAGACTCCAATCTGGGTAAAATGGATAATTAAGCTTCCTTTGAGTTATTTCTGTCCAAATGCCTTGAAATGGGGTTGCCTTTTCGATTACTTTTCAGTTTTTAAGTATTCTGGCAGTTCGCAATCGTTGTCATCTGTCACCGCCACCACTGCGGATACGTAATTTTATTGAACAGAAGCCGCATTGCGTGCGTTTGACACGGACCTGTCATGTTTGTGTGCGTGGCTGTGTGTGGGTGGTTGGGTGGTATGGCTGGAAGAGCTGCCGAAGTGGGTGCAGGAATTTCAATAATTTCATTAAGCGACCCTGTGGCACTCTGCCAGCATTCGTAATTGAATGAGAAAGTCCCCTGCAAGTTCAGCCCACTTGTTCTGCCCAGTTTTCCAGCCCGGCAGTTACTCACCAGATGGTTATTTACACCTGGAGCAGCGGCAACAGGTGTCTAGGCTAGCGAGTGCCCTACTCCCATTTGCATATCAGGTTATTTGAATTTACAAGCTCGCACTCACCATTGAGAAGAGTCCGGAAATGACCCACACGATGAGGGCCAGGTTAACGCTGCCCGTGTACATCAGCACTCCCGTGGGCGACACAAAGATGCCCGACCCGATGATGGAGCCCACGATGACCGTGCAACCATTGAGCAGGCTCATCTTGGCCTTCAGAGTCACCTCTCCGCCACCTCCTCCATCACCACCATCCGCATCTCCGTTGGTCAGCTTGGCGGAGGCATCTCCATTCCCATTCACAATCGAACTCTTCCGCGAGGAATTCTTACGATTCAGAGACTCCGTTTCCATTTCGTCAGCACTGGGTTAGTGATTAAAGAAGTTTTCTGGAAAGAATTAGAGGAAGTTTAACAATGAACTGGATTAGTTAGTTATCTTTTGGCTTTTCATATGAGGATTGCCTATTCATGGGCTTGGAATTCCTATCGCAGAAGTTATGAAAGTCATAGTAAATTCCCAGTTTTCTCCATACTTTTGACCTTTTCCGGAATCTAAATTCCATTGATTAACTACTAGCTATTGCTTACAATATGGTTTTATGGATCCATAAATTACACGTTTTAGCTGCTTTAAGTCTATTTATAGCTAGTATTTTAGCTTAGTTCACTATCTAAACACACTGCTGAAAACAAAAGGTACTTTCCTTCCATTCCTGAATCTCTTAGTTAATGAACTTGTTTGTTTAATGGTGCTAATTATTCATTAGTCTCTGGGGGGAATTTGTGATTCTGCCATTGACTTTGAGAAATGGTGTGCTAATTGAGAAAGAGGAGATCCAATCTGAAATATTAAATTCTGGAAGGGTGCTAAGTTGAGATTCTGTGAACTGATATCGCGATGTTTCAATTTTATGTTTCACAGACGTATTGCCCGCCATTTCGTAATCTCAGCTTGGGAATTCGAGAGAAGGCAATGGCCCGGCTTTCTGGCTCTCCCTTCCGCGATTGCCTTCCTCTTTTTTTGAGTGAAAGGTAATTAAAGGTCATTGGCAGAACTGAAGTAAAAAGCTTGCTCTACTTTTACCTTGACTTTTTGTATGAGTGTTTCGCACACAAGCTTTTAATGTATTATTTGCACAGAAAAAAAAGGAAGCCAGTTTCATTTGTTTATGAAGCTAATATTTTAATCTTTTAGGAAATATACAAAAGAAAGAGAGATGACTTCTCTGTACAACTGCCAGAAGATTTCGAATGTCTTAAATTTTCCTACAATCAGGCGTGACTGTATTATCATGATGAGGAAGCAATGGACTTCGCTTCGATAGAATTCGACTGGAGTTCGCTGAACCCACAAAGTTATATTATTGCAATTCCTTGCGGTGTAAAAGTTTGACGGAGCCTGAAGATTGATTGATAAGCCGCTGTGGATGGCACGTGTGGGCCTGTGAACTCGGCACAAAGCCGAGGAAGTGGATCCCCGAACCCCGCCCACCTACGGGATTAGGTCACGCCAAATGTTTACCTTAGTATGGCTTATACCATATGACATAAGGCAGACGGGGAGGCGGTGGAGGTAACTTCCTCAAAGCGAAAGCAAAGGCCGGTACTGGACCCACGCTCCGCATAAATTAGCATAACATCAGAGGCGAGAATAACAAACAAAATACGATGTGTGATTCAGTTATGGAATAACTGGTAGAATGGCAGAATGGCACAAGCAAAACAAACAGGTGAACAAACTAATGAACACCAGATCTCTAGCCGGGATCTATGGCCCTCGACTGCTAATTGGCCTTCCGATGTTCTTGGCTTACCAGTTGACCAGCCAAGCTGAACGGCCGAAAAAGATCCAATTACTCCAGATCTCGACTGATGCAATGGTCGAACGGATTATGGATTGTAATAGAAATCGGTATTCGGGGTATTCCAATTAGTTACTGCGGAATTCGAGTGAAATCTTAGCAAAATTACATCTGTGGAATTCACAATGCAAGTGGGCTTGCACCATGACTAAGCCACTGCCTGCTGGGGGTCTTTTTTTTTAGTGTTTTACGTGTGAAAGGCTTTGTCATTAGTTCGCCTCAGGGCAATTAGCTCTTTCACTCCGCAAATACCCATTTACTTGACCCAATTCATGCATAAATCAAGATATAAAACACACTATTGATACGTCGAATCGGCGTTCGTGTGCGCACCTGAGGCGTAAACAAAAAGTCAGTGCCACAAAGAACCAGCCAAATCCATTAATTTTGGTTTAGTAAACAGAAATGCTATTGTGTAGTCCATATAAATCTGTGTACTAGGCTATCAGTTTCGAGGCGAGTGCTTAGTACAGACACAGTTAGCCTAGGCTATCAACTAATTGAAGCTAATTGTGGAAAATTAGGCTTTTTGCTGACAAAATATTGCTGATACGGTACGCAGGGCCATCCGCCTAATAATTTAAATTGGATAATGCAAATAGTAGGGAGTGAGTATTGGTACTTAATGTATTTTAAAAGCTAATAAACATTAATCGTTCTAACCAAAACTAGTTTGTTCCAGTCAGCTTTTTAAATGAAATGAAATGTTTTTCCTATACTGATTATCACTAATAACATCTCAGCAAACTAATTCTTATCAGGGTCTATTAGGAATTTGGTTTGATTCACAAAAATCAAAATAATTAGAAACCGGCTCGAGTCACATCCCGATTATCAACAGGTCCGATGTAGTCGCTCACTTAAAACTCATTCTAAATATATACTCTAAACAAGAATTGGGCATTTCGTTATATAGTATAAGCGGCAGATCTGCACACATAAATTGTTGCGGGCAGCTTTTGATGGCTTTTTTATGGGTTGCCAAAGTCGCATGATGCGTTTTAATTTAAATTTGTGTTTCACCGCTGCTGGCTCTGTGATGGCTTTTCCATTTTATTAACACCTTTTTTAATTCCGTTGGACCTTTTATGTTTTCTCGTATTTTAATCACAAACACAAGTGTTGCTTATACAGAGCAAACACTTTTTATCTGCTTAAGTTGTATGCTATTTGCCTGACGCCGAGAACTGAGTACTTAAGAGGCGATTAGGCTTTGCTACCTGCTTAAGAGGGTTGCGTACTTTCACGTGGACTGAGCGGTTCTGGCCGTACTAACTGATATTTCTAGTTACTAACAAGTTCCGCCGGAGAACGAGAACCGCACGCAGGCAGCGAGTACAGCAGACTGACAACCGCCGGCCATTCAGTTTCGCTCCGAGGCATCTTCGCTCCGGAAATCTCGGCCAGAGGTTAATCGGGTTCGGCACTGCTCGACTGTGGGGTATCTCCTACACTTCTTTCTCCACTGAGAGAAATGTTGAGTATTTCCTTGCGTTAAGGGGGAATTTGAACAATACTTTATTGTTCTGTTTAGGCTATGAAGAAGATTTACTAAAGGATTATAAAACTAAATATCTTTCAACAAAAAACAGTAACTAGAAGTAAAAGAGGTATAGCTGGAGATTTTGAGATCTCAAAAAGCCTGAAGAACTTGGCTTTGCGCTACTTCGAACATGTTCGATGTTCGATCGAGAGGCTCGCTTGTTTCTAACCGACTATCTGTGCTTTTTTGAATTTTGAATTTCGCCGAAACAAGTTTTTGACGCCGTGTTTGTTTGTTCCCGTGATCGTGGTAGTCGGACTCGTATCTTTTGTTTTCGGGCTTTTGTGGCCGAGAAATGGTTCTCATTTCTTGTGTTTGCCTGGCAAGCGGAAAATGGTACACGCTGACTTTTATCTAACAGATACACAGGGACAAGCCCAAGAGCAGCAGTCATTTAGTTGAAGGCTTTTGGTTGTTTGCCCATGTGGTAAGAGTGTTTTGGTGCTTAGAACCATGAATGCCCTCTCAAGATACAAGAGTACCTTTCGCTTACTCCAATTGTTGCCGTGTATCTGCCCTCTGTGCTCTGCGTTCACACGTAGGCTGCTTTCGTTGCTTAGAAATGCAAATTGGATAGCAGACACTATGATTTTCGCGTGAATATTCAAATTTCTGTACTCACGCCCACTTGCCCCGATCTATAATTGAATATATCCGCACCGCGGACTGGGCTGCATCCACACAAATGACTTAATTCAAATCTGTCTCCGCAATCTGTCGCCAACTAAAGTACAATGGCGACTCTGGCGACTCGTCTGCAATATCCCAGTATAACTTATTTAAGTAACTTGTATTGCTGAGAGTGTTTGCTGCCTTTCAGATTCACTTCAGCCTAAATTTCTCTTCGGGCCATTCGAGTTTATTGACCAAAGGCTGAGCTCCAGTTCGACTCTCGATGATCATTGTGATCTGTTCCGCGGCCGGTTTGGTTCCCAAACCGCTAAGTGCAAATCATCGAGTTGCTTAATCTCCCCTTTATTAGCAATTTGTGTATATAATCCCGAATTAACGACAATTGGCGGTGCGTCCAGCGACGTCATATCGGCCGGTTAGAAGGTATTTCTAAGGCGATCATCGAATTAAATTAAATTCCGCCATTTGTGCCGTGAAGTGTGGCACTTTAAGAGGCTCCCTCGCTCGTTAGTCAATTGATTTACTAAGCCTGGAATCCGCTCGATGAGATCGGGTCTTTTGGATCTTGTTCGGAATTCAAAGCATTATAATTCTGAGCCCGATCAGCTGATGGGCTTTGCTGTTGGAATATTAAACAAAAGCTCTGAGAGCTGTGTAAAAATCTTCAAAGTATTGACTACCCTCTAATGACTAATGCTTATCACGCTCATTAATTGGTATTTTTGCCAGATTTCCTACCCAGCGATATTGCGTACTTAATTCTTAATCTCCGACATCTGTTCGGGTTGACAAATTGCGGTTTTCAGGCTTAGCAAAAAGTTTAAGAGCTTTAATTAAATTACATTTTTGTGATGCATCTCGCAAATGCCAATAAATTTCGTGCTCTCTGTCAAGGCCAAGGGTTTATCCCGCCTTTTCAGGCATTGAACTGGCCAAAAAGTGTGTATACCTTGCCGGCGTGCCACTGTCCAATAAGTTAGAGCACACACACCTTCCCAGAATAGGTGGGCCGTGGGTATTATGTTTCCACCGCCGAGCGACGTTCATTAATCTAGAGATCGACATTAAGTCCAAGTACCTATCGACGTGGCTGGCATTTCAAGTGCAATATCGCGTTTCGTGACGTTTCTGACTAAATCGCAACTTTACATTGCATCAGACTCTTGTCGGTACGAAGGTAATAGCTGATTAACCACGGAAAGTGGCGCCAAGGTGTCTGGCGAAGCTTTTGGAGGCTGTGTAGCTGGAGGCTACGTGGGTGGAGGGCAGCTTGTGACGTCAGGGATTGTCATCTGTGACGTGCTAGCCCAAAATAGCGCACAGAGGGCAAAGCGAAAGGCAAAGTGTCACGGATTCTGGCATACTTACACACAAATTTTAATTGATTTTTCGGATTGGTTTTTACAATTTCTATTATTTCTTATCGAGCTCTTTAAAACGAGGTAGTTCTAAGCATTCCGAAATGCTTTTAGGTGAGGTTTTATTGATAACAATAAGTAATATTTGTCTTTTAATTTACGTTCTGTGCTGCTTAAAAGTAATATATAAGACCCGTCTGTTTTCGTGGCCACAGTTCGCGTTCTACTGAGGGGCAGTTCGTGGTTACAGCATCGCCAGAAAGCGAGAGAGCCATCAGCAGAGTATATCATTCCATTCCCCCCCATACAACTCTCAGATAAGAGGCTCTCAGGAGCCAGGCCCTCGGCATACCACGTTTTTTGAGAACCTTTCGCGAACTGCAAATTACACACTTCGCAGCCAAAGGCAGCACAACCCCCGGCATTCATCAAGGGTTCTTGGAGATTGGTCATCATGGGCTTGGTCGCTCAAATTATGCCTGGCCCTCTGGCTTCTTGGATTTTTCTCTGATTTTTTGCCTCAGCGAGACGTCTGCTCACGTTCACGGCGGTTCAAATGCCTTTTGTTGCCGCGCATAAATTTCCGACTTGGCTCAACGTCCTTTCAGTTGCTGCTCTCTGGGACTCGCACTTTTGTTGTTCTCAAGGTCAGCAGACCCCTGCTGCGCATGTCCTGAAAAAGCTTCCGAATGTTTACACCAGAGCATCATGAGATATTCAAAAACTAATATTAATAAGCTTTTGTTAGCTTGAGGAAGGGTGTTTTCAATAGTAACGAAAGTCGTTATTTATTTTATTTACCTTATTTACCAGCAAGCGCTTATTTATTTAGAGGTTTTCAAACTATCTTTTTTTGGCTTGGTAAGTAGGTATTTATTTTTAGTTCAATTAAAATTTTTAAAAATTTAAGCGCAGGCAACATAGTTCTTAGCTAAGTTCTAAACCATACATTTCTTTCACTTATTTGTACAGCCACCGAAATACACGTGCAACTTACATTACAAAATGTATGTGTATTAAACACATATTGACATGTAGATAAAAAGTAGGTAAAGATATCACGTAGAAGTACGTACAAATGTTTCGTAGTTAAGAGTCTTTCCACCTCTGTATGAAAGTTTAAATTTGAATTTTTAAAGTTTGAGGTATGATTCTATTAAAAATATTTTCTTCATGTGAATTCATTTTGTAAACTACTAACTTATTGAAATCCTCTTATCACTAAAATGAATACCTAAGCTTTCAGTTTTTGATTTAAATGAAAATCGAAATGAACTGTTTTATAAAACTATTTTATGTCAACTCGTGATAAGAATGTAGGAATATTTCTCTCTTTGCGCTTGCCAACACATTTCATACGCAGCTTATTTCGCATTTTTCCCCTTCGGGTCTTAACAATTTGTAAGTAACATATCGAATAAATCCGGTGGAATTCGGCACATGTGCTGTGTGCAGTTGCACAAAGCATCCCGGGGGGTGTGGTCCACAAATCCTGGCCCCAGTCCCGCCCACCTGCAAAAGTGTGTTGACAAGGCCAAAAGCAAAATGTGGGTGTGCGTGTGTGCGAACCGATGCCATGTGTGTGCGGTGTGCGCCAGCAACTTTGATCCAGCTGCGAACTGTTCATGCGTGGAAGCTGCATTGTTCGGTGCTTAAAAGCGATTGCTGCTGCCATATAAATGCACTTGCACTTGCCACCGCGCTCCCCGTTGCGTATGCATAGCATTCGCCGTGTGGAACACGCATACGCACTGTTGCACCGCCATAAAGGCTTGTCTCCCCAACTTCGTCGCCCCAACTGCGTTCGCTTATTAGTTTGTTTTGCAGGAGGGTAAAATCAATCAATGGGCTCACCTGCCGCCTATCACCCGCCATCAAACACAATTTGATGGCATCAAAGCTTCATTTGTGTGCCTAGCCCATGGACAGGATGCCGTGCAGGCAGGATATGAAAGGACTTCGGACTACGGACTGTCCATCGAGGACAACGGCGCATATTTTGCCACATGACAGTTTGCTCTCGCATCTATGTCATGGCTGTGTCTGCGTTTTTTGCAAAGCTTTTGATCCTTACGTGACTGCGACAATTGTCGCTGGCACCTGTATCATTGGAGTCCTGTGAAAGGAGGTATACACTGGAACAAAAAGGATAAACACACTCGACAGCTTTTAGCTTTATGGATGACGGATTTTCAGATTTCAGGATATATAAATATCAATCACATTTTTTTTTTCGCTGAGTGTACATGCCACTATCTAGACGCCACCTCCGCTTTTTGCCATCTCTGCGATGGCGGCAAAGTTTTCCCGGCACATTTCCACATTTGCAAATGCAAATTCAAATGCTCGATTACAGTTGGGAAAAAACTCATATGCATTTGCTTATCGCAGCGTGCCTGAGCAAATTTTGAATATTTTCCCAGCAATGCTGATCAATGAAGTGCGCACTTTTTGCCGCCTCGGTGGGTGAAACAAGTTCTAAGCTACTTACTGCCCGGAGTCCTGCTCGAACTGCGGTAGATGTCGGCAGACACAGGCACTCGCTCGAGTTTTCTTGGCGAGGGAGGAGGGTTTTTCCACCTGCATATTTATGCACTTTCTGACCATGAGGGCCAGAGACTCTGGAGAAAATGAAGTGCAAAGCAGCTTTTGAAGAGGCATCCTAGATGCCCAGGATGGTGGGCACTGGAGCGTTCTGCCAGCTGTCGGATTATGCTGATTTTCATGGACTGAAATCAATTTGGACAAGGCAGTTCGCAAATGAACATTGGCTGGCGCACAATCAAAACTTTACTAATTACGAAAACTTGCCGAAAAATCTTCTTAATACAATAAGTGCGACAATGCCCAGTTGCCGCCTCCTAGGGAGATCCTTGACTCGGCGAAGCCAGCCAACAAACAAAGAAACAGGCAAGTGAGAAATTAACTTGCGTTTTCAATTACCAAAGAGTCTAAGGAGCCAGGACCAGGCTGCCGAGGCATCAAAATCAAAGGATGTGGAGCAGACGCCGTCTGCTGACAATGCGAAAATGCAAAGAGCAAAAGCACTTGAAGCACACAATATTGAAAGCTGGAGGAGTCCGGGAAAATGGGAAATGGGGAATGGCAAATGGGGAATGGGAAAGAGGAGAGAAGAGAGCGGGCTGACTGGCGACAGCTTCTGGTCTTATTTTTTATGAGAATGGCCAAGTGCAAAAGTTGTTAGAACAGTGAATTCCGCTCGAACTGTTATTATTTAGGCTCCTTAAATGGCCGAATGGCAAGTTTTTGCATCCTCTTTTGCAGTCTTCAATCCTTTTTCCATATTTGATCAGGGTTTTTGCCCACTCACCTTAACTTGCTCTTCATTCTCGCTTTTACTTATGTTGTTTACCTTCCTCTGCTTTTTCTGCAGCAATTTGCATATCCATTTCTGAGTCCTTTACGGGATTTGCATATCCTCCATCCAGCCCCCCTTTCTCCAGGATATCTTTCACTTCGCCGCACAATTTGTTCTTCCCTTTCAGTTTTAATTATCTGAAAGTTGTTTGATCTGTATCGAATACTTCTGCCACATTTGGATTAGTTTTCTCCCGCAGAGTGGTGGCACAGTTTTCCATTCGCCGGGGGCATTTTCCATTTGGCACAATCATTCAGGTTTTTTAATTTATTTAAAGTCGTGCGCGGGAATTGTGAATGACTGTCTGGCGACATCAAAAAGCCAGTCGCCATTTGACACTCGCGCCTCGAAAGGATAAAGTTTATAATTTCATAGACTTGTCAGCTCCTCGGCGACTTGCCCGCCCCTTTTCCTTTCTTTTCTGGGGCGGCGTCTTGAATTTATGCGCTGAATTAATTATGCACGTACGGAGGCAGAGGATTTGAAACACTCCGGACTCGGAGCCCGGGACTTCCCCGCAGCTCCGCTGTTTGTCTGGTTAGTTTGTGTTTGGCGGCGTTGACGGCGCATTTAAAATAATTGCTCGGCGTGGAAAAAGTGAAGGCTTCGCGATTCGTGTGAAAAGTTTACACTGCGCTCGCGGCATAAGCTCATAATGGATTTGTTGGCGGGTTGTTGCGTTTTTTGCACTCGCCGCGGAGTTTTGGCTTGCGAACTTGCGGATTGTGGCAAGAAATTAATGGGGGGAGCGGATGGAGACCGAGAGTCATCCGTAATTGGCTACGCCTGCGATGAGCTAAAGTAAGTTAAGGATAGTTTGAGTGGGTTTCAAAGGAGGAAAGATGGCCCCGAAACGTAAGAGCTTGTGTGTCTCAGCAAAGGACACTGGTGGAAGAATTATGCGGCTTAAGAAATGCATACATTGATTTATTATTTTGTTCATTTGAAACTCAATGTTGGGTTAATATTATTTATCACGAGCTGTTTGAGCCAAACTTGGTTGTGTATTAGGTGTCCTAAGAATTTCCCTGGAAATTATTTTAGCCTAATACTATGCTTAACTTTTTATTTGTTCACTTATTTGAGTTCCTTTTTTCAAATTTTGATAATGTTACGCCTTGTTGAAATTGCGAAACTCGGTTTAAGCTTATTGTTTCCATAACTTAGCCAATAATGGTTCAAATATGGAAAGTAATACCTCGTAGGGCTTGTAATTTGATTGCTATGATTTCCAATTGAGTTTCATTCAAATCTGGAAAACTTCATTTTCGGCCATTTTTCGAAAATTTTGATGATGGATGACCTTATAAAAAATGCGAAATTTAGCCGAAAATTGATTTTCCCAAAACCGAAAATCGAGTGATAGGGGTGGTAAGTGGTGGTCGTTAGCGGTACAAAACAGTTGTTATTTTGGCTGTACGGTTTGTTTTGACCGAGCTAGAGCTTAAAACCGAACACACTATTGCAAATTTCTGTTAAAAATAGGCTTCCTGATTTTTCAGCCATTAAATCAGAGCTCGCACTAAAAAATCAGAACAGTAATGACAAAAGCAAGAATAGGGGCTTAAAGTTTTGCTTCTTAGCTGCAAAAACAGTCACTGGTTTACCTATGCGTCTTGTTTTGACAAAGTTAGAGCTAAGAAAAGGCAAGAAACCCTGGCTCTCTGCTGTCTAACGACGTATACTTGACTTTGGGCGCAAAAAAAATCAGCCAAAAATGGTCCAAATCTGGAAAGTAATACCTCGTAGGGCTTGTAATTTGATTGCTATGATTCCCAATTGAGTTTCATTCAAATCTGGAAAACTTCATTTTCGGGCATTTTTTTGA